TTCTTTTACTATTTCTTCTATACTCCTATAACAGCGCCAGATAACACCTCCAGAGGAATGACGCCAATTTTGAATCACCCTGTATATCGTCTTTGAAAATCAAAATTCTATTATCTCAAGGATATCTAGATCGTCTTCAAATATGTCAAAACAAGTTTTGGTATCCCTTGTTTAGGTTTTTTGTTTGTTATCGTAATTTTCAATTTTGTCAACTATCATGTATGCTGTATGTATCAGCTTCATGTATGAGGAAGGGAAACAAAGGTTAGAATTCACGGCTTAATACCATAAGTTACCAAAGTTGACGTGTTAATTTAAGCCGAGCTTTGAATGCTGTAAGCCTGGTTTATAATGTGGTGCAAACCAATTTAATTTTAAAGCTGAGCTTAATGGCAAAGCCCAGCTTATTTTCAACTTTGCAAACCGGCCATAGAGTCATAGTTTAAGCATTCCTACAATTGTCCTCGTTTGCACCACGCACTCTTTCCCAGTGCAGTCAGCAAAACTTCGTGTAAACCATTGCAAAACGACCAAAGGTTATGATTTTTTTCATTCCAGACGTAGTCGAAATGCAAGGATGTTCATGGAGACCAAAAAGTGTCCTTGATTGGGACAAACAGACCGATCAGCACTAGAGCAGCATGAAATTTTATTGAAACAGATGCTTACTTAAATCTAAGGAATCAATGATATCAACTATGATCAATGATATACAACGCGATTTCAATCTCTGTAAATTAAAAATTCTAGTGCTGCGTTCGGAAAACCCTATGCTTGAGCCCGGCGTACAACAGTTTGTTCCAAATTATACAGGATATCTTAAAAATACTGAACTTTCGGATAGAGATAAAAACTGCTCCAATTATATTTTATCAAATAGAACATTCTGTATATTAGTTCAAATACGGGAAGACCGTTAAATTCTCTGTGAAACGATATATCATGGGTATACACCTAATGCGTCAAATTTCCGAAATAAATGGACATTCTTGCAAAATTATGTCGATTATGTGGACGTATTTATTTAAATAGCCATAATAAAGTGTCATAATAATTGAATATTTGAAATTCTTCAAACCAGTTGTCAAGACAACAAAGTAATAGAGAAAGCTTTTATGCATTTTTGAATGTAGTATAGACTTAATTATTCACAAAATGGAGAGCAACCATTCAGTTCAAATCCAATTCCAATTGTTGCAAGGACATACGGAAAATTCAACGAAATATTGCCCAATTTAATGCAAATGAATGCGAAGTTTGTACGAATACAACACAATTTCCTTAATTATGGCACCAAACTGAAAGCTGAACCCAACTTACTAAAACCTGTAACTTCTTATGAAGACAGCATTGTAAATGTTTTAGCGTCCTTCCGTGCACATCCTTAAGCTTCTATTCGAAGTGCCGCAGATGATTTGGCCTTAGATTATAGTTTCATTCAAAGAATCCTGATTAAGCATAGAATGTATCCTTACAAGTTTACAAACACGAGATTTTTTTTAAGAACTCTATGAAGAATTGCAAAATCTTGAACCATTATAACATTTCATGGCCATTTTGATAAATACGTCGACATAATCGAATTTTTGCAAAAGTGTCCATTTATTTCGGAAATTTCACACTTTAGGTATAGAAACATGATATATCGATTCACAAGGAATAACGATTTTCTCGTATTTCAACTAATATACAGGGTGTTCTATTTGAAAAAATGTAATTGGAACAGTTTTTATGTTTAGCGGAGAGGTCAGTATTTTCAAGACCTCCTGTATAATTTGGAACAAATTACTGTACGCCGTACTCAAGCATAGGGTTTTCCTAACCCAGTTCCACAATTTTAAATTTCCAGGTATCCAAATCGGGTTCTAATACAAGATTCCTTGGGGCTACGTTTTGATTAAAAATAATAAATTGTATTTAATATTTCGGAAACCGCTTTAGATAGATATAGGAATCATTATGCAAACATAATAATATCTATATAGACTATCTAACCGTGCAATAATATACGGGGTGTCCCATTTAAAATATCAACGTTGGCAATAAACGGCACCCTCGCATTGCTGAAAATAATTTAGGCCGATAGAGCATATCTGATGACGTCGTTGTACAAATTTGCAGATAGATCTGGCATCGCATTCTCTTTAAACGTCTAATACGCCCTCTACCGTGAATCACCCTTTATACACTTGGGCATTTAATACTCACGATCTCATTTTATTGTCCTCTATCAATGTTCTGTTTCAGCTCTAACATACTGCGAAGATAATTCAGACATTTGCAAAAATGGAGCAAAATGCGTCTCCCTCACTCACGACGATGGCTCATATCGGTGCCTCTGCAGAGAAGGGACTTATGGGCGACATTGTGAATTTTCCGATCTTACCATCATGTCGCAATCTCCTATGAATCTGAGCAGCAAACCTGGAACCATTGACCTCAAGCCCGAGAAACCCTCTAGGCCTGAAAACGTTACCCTGGTTTATCCTATGGAAAGTGCTGCGGTTGTAACTGGCATGAAAAATCAGACTGTAGGAGAGCTGCCGACCAATGCGACAGCGAAGAATTAATCCAGATAATTATTTATTTTTAATATAAGAAGTATTTATTTTTCACTTTAGTGTTTTAATTAAAGCTAAATTTTGGTCAAGCTGGCCCATTCGTTTGATTGAAGTGAGAAGAAGTGATTGGGTGAACCACAGTTGATCTCAAATGTATTAAAGCTTGTTTAACTGAGGATATATTCTTCTTCTGTTAGCAGTAGGTTCTGTTCGGTCCGCAGTTCAGTCCGCATACAGTGAGTCCTAGAAGAAAGCTTTAAATCTACTTAAAATTCACGGGACTATTCTTTTTCTTTTATATCGAAGTTGTTTCTTTATACAGATTTGTCCCAAAAAAATTATTTGCTTCAAATAGGAGCTCCTAAGTTTCATTTCAATTTCGGATTTTCTATTGAATTCTAAGCAGATTCATCTGCTAAATTCAATAGTCACCCAAATATTTAACGATTGTTTAGTTTTCCTAGTTGCAAGTTTTCAACCACCTCGGGAGTTATGACATGAACTTTTTCCCTATCTCCTTTTTCAACTCCTGCATATTGATATCCCGTTGACAGGCCGAAGCTTGTCAACAAATATTCGATTTCACGTAACCCCACTAAAGTAAATCTATTGGAATCAAGTCTGGTGATATAGGAGGCCGTTTACTAGATGCCCTCCTTCCTATCCACTCATTGGAAAAGGATTCATTCTATAGGTTGTAGAAGATTGGGGAAAGTGAGCATAACTGAGGCTACTTCTGCCTCTACGGGGCGGGTGGTTGATTTTGTTTCTTTAAGCAGTGTGAAAAACTGTTTTTTTTTTCGAGATATGTGGCTGCAGACTGCACGAAGGCTAGAAGGAGGTTATGCGCGTTAATGAGTTTTCAGATTAGTGGCCTACTTATCGAAAGTTTTGTCTATAGTCCGGCAAATGACTCGGTTAGAGCTCTTTTCAGGGGTAGCGATCGTAGCCTGGCTGCTGGCAAATCGGAATCATGTTTTTRCATGAAGCCGAACTGYCCTCGASGAACCAATTGGTTTTTGGATCTTCGGTCAAKGACGCGGTCGCGGATGATTTTCTCAGTGAGTTCGGAGAGAGATTAGGRGAGGCTGAAGGGTCTCCAATTTTGGGGAAAGGTCTTGGATTTGAAGGGTTTTGGGATTAAGATTATGGTGGCGGTTTTCCTGGTGTTGGCAATTGCCCGAGAGAAAAGAAGGAGTTAATTAGGATGAGTGGTTTGTTGAGGAGTTTTTTGGAGAACAGTTTTATGATTTGGTCAGATCTGGGACTTTTGCGTGTTTTTAGCGGCGCGTTATCGGGGGGATTGGGGGCGGCGTCTGGAGGGATTTGCGGTTGTGTGATTTTGATGAGGATGTCTTCAACTTGTTCCTCAAAATCCAGGGCATCAGTGTGATGCATGTTGCAAACAAACTGACGTTTTAGCGAGTCGGCGTAAGCTTCAGCGTTTTTCTTGTCCGTTAAGGCCATTCCTCGCTCTCCATGTAAAAGGGCGAAATGCGCTTTTGGTTGAGATTTTCCAGGCGATAGTACCGCCTGTTGGAAGGTTTTCTATTTGATCAAAGTTCTTTAGATAGTTAACATTTCAATGAAACTCGCTTAAAGTTTGATTTAAACTATTAATGTTCTGGAACGATATCGTACTACTGAAAAGAAAACTTTGGAAAAGTTCCAATTATTTGCAGTTGTTATCCCTCACATGGAAACCATCGGAAAGTTACTAGTTGCTTTCAAGTGAGGCTTCAAGTTGAAAGTTTTCCAGAAAATTTCAGTATGTAAAATTCAGAGTATCCTTAGCTGGCTTGCTCTAAGATAGACGACGCAGCGTGTTGCAAATATGGTGTGTTTTTTGGTTCACTTTTTGTTGGACCCATGTTCCCACAGCTTTTAGACTATTTGGTCGAGGACAGATTAAAAAAAAATAGAAACGCACTTTGTATTATTTCAGATATAAAAATGGCTTGGAGTATTATAAAAATCAGGTCACAATGTGTGCTAGATTGTGCAAAAGAACTTACATCCCTGGCTGGGAACTTGCTAAGGCAGGGGCCGAGCAACCACTTGCCAATCAAGAACCGCTTGTTAGGGCGGGAGTTGGGCAGTGGTTCTTGGAACAACATAGAAAGTACTAGGAAGAAACACCGCGACTCCTTACCGCAAGGCAATTGGTGGGACCTTTATAACCAGTGCGTAAAAACAAACTGCTTGATCTCAGCAGGCAAATAATAAGAGGATAGTGAGTGGCCTTTTTAACAGGGCACCTGTCCTACAAAATACGCCTTTTCAGGATGGATCTGAGCTATCAACCGACCTGCAGGAGTGCAAATAAGAGGATGAAACTACTCTAAATATTATGTGTCACAGCTCCTCATATGCTACTGGTAGACGAAGACTCCTGGGAAGAGATAGAGTTCAACCAGTCCCGGTCATGCGTACCCCCCCC